TCAGGGCAGTCAAGTAAACTTCAGGTAGGCATGCTCAACTCAACTCGATGATAATAATTTCATTTCAAGCCAATCATGTTAGTGTTCGTGTAAAATAGGTTTAGTCCCACCACCATTTCAAAAACCATAAGAAATATGCTTTCAAAAACCTTTACCTCAATTCCAAAGGCATTACCATACTTTTACTTACCTTGCCTTGTAAATAGACACTAGCAAGAAATTCAAGAATCTCAAGGTAGTTGATGGGATTTCCAACCTATACCACATGAAAGTACAAAAAGATTACAACATATTCATTAACTAATTTAGTTCCTAACCCAAAATCAAGTTTCCTAAATGAGGAAGCAACTTCTTCCTACACATCCCGATCACCTTTACCCTTTTTAAAACAGCTCCTAAAAGGAACTACAAAGGCAGATTTACCAAGCAAATTTGTTAGGCAGAACCAAGTCAAAAAAATGTGGAAAGCCAAGTCCAAAACTATACTAGACGCCAGTAGAATTTTGGGCAAAACAGCAACAGAAACAATATAGAAAACAGATCAAAACTGGGTAGAAATGGACAGCCTTTAAGTAACAAATCCTGTAGCTAAACAAACTTAAAATTTGGACAGCTTGTGCATGATTTAAGTGTAGAAAATCACATGAACAGGTGTTGCTATTATAGCATAAAAACGAGCAACAATACATGTTTTCATGTAGCGGATATTTATATATATTTTTCAAAAGCTAAACAAATTAGAACCAAGGCAATTGAGATGGATAACATGAGTGGAAATTAGATATTGTTTTAGGATAGAACAACAGGGATTTTCTAAGTAAAAACAATAGCAAATTCATGGGCAAAATAGCAGTAAAACAGTAGCAAAATAGCAAAAAAATTTGGGTAAAAATAGTAGCAAAATAGTAGAATTTTTTGGGTAAAAATAGCATGAATTTATGGGCAAATAGTGGCAGCAAAACAATGTTGAAACAAGCTAAAATCGAGCAGCATTCAAGCAAAAATGTAGTAGCAAAAAGACAACCAAAACAAAGCAATAATAAGGGGTTTTAGGGCATGAAAACAATAGCTAAAATCTAGTAAAATCATAATGTAATATGGTAGTAGATAAGGTGGGAATAAAACATAAAAGAGAGCAATTTCTGTCAAGTTCTGGTCAGATTTCATGCTGGAATTTCCAACAGAATTCATGCCTAGAAATTGACTGATCTGGATTGAGTGGTCAACAGATAAATTGTAGTCATTTTAACATTCTATAGCCTCAAGAATTACCTTAATTCGACATCTATAAGAGAGTTATGACCAAAATACTAACATAGGGTCAGCTGCCACTTAGGTTCGCCTACAGGAATCAAATTTGTAGGAGGTTTTTCACCATGAAAACAGCTTAACTAGGTTAAACATTCAACATAAAAATTGCAGGGCTATCTCTTAGCTTTCTACAGAATTAAAAATCAACTTAATCTGATAACTATAGACAAAATTATGGGCAAAACACTGCAAATAGGTCATGCTATTCGAATCTAGCAAAACAAATCAGATTTGGTGCTACTAGGGCAAAACCAAGCGGGAAAACTATAGAAATAAACCTCAAATTGAAAACCCTAATAGGATTAAAGATAACCTAACTCAATTCAAAGGTAAAAGATTAGTAATATGGTTGATTACTTACTAGAAAGTTGTAGAAGGAGCACCCATTGAGCCTTCAAGTCACGGACAGGGAAGAAGAACAAAAAGTAGCACTTTTGAGGAGAAGAAACAGCATCACAGAGAGCTTAGGAGGTTGATGGCTTTAAGGGTTTTGAATTTAGGGTGGAAGAGGAGAGGAAAACCAGAAAAAAAGAAGAAGAACCCGAAAAAGAAGAAAGAAAACAGAAAAGGAAATTTAGGTTTTCCTTTGCCTTTTATTATATCTATCCAACCACCTTTTTTTTTTTCAACATCCCCAAGATTGAAGAATGAGATAACTTGGTCCCCCAATAACATCCTCTTTCATATTAGTCATCTCACACCTAAATTAATTAATTAATTATACATAATACTCAAAATTTTGGGGTATTACAGGAGTGATGGGAGAAGGAAGGATACTTGTTGTGGGGGCTTGTGAATGGAGGGCTTGATCCCATTTTTAATACTAACCTTGTAGCTTGATCCACTGTTGCTTAAGAAAAATTACCCAGAAGTTGAAATTGAAGCATGTTGCCTCCCAGCCATGATGTTGTGCAAGTTTGGAAATTATTTTACAGTGTTGGAAGTGTAAAAAATATAAAGAAAATGGTGATTTTTGCGTATTTTTGGTGTGTATGTGGAGAGGTTGAAGATGAAGGATTTTTTTAGAGGGAAAATGGATGTTTCGTGCATGAGAGGAAAGTTGGAGTTGTGAAAATCTTCTCTTCTCTACTAAAAATGAAGGAAAAATAATATATATGTGGAGTGGCATCCTTGTAATTTTTGGTTGATGGGTCAGAGGTGTGCAATCGCCTAATAGGTAGATTTGGGTGAGCTGTTGAGTTTTGAGTGGCTTTGGGTATTGCTGACAACTTTTTGGCAGTGATATTATGAATTATCCAATTGTTTCAACGAAGCACCACTAGTTCTAGCGAAGCACTACTAGTTCTAGTGAAGCACTACTAGTTCTAGTGAATTATTGCTAATTTGTTGAAGATTGTCCATTTTTGGTAACTTTCTAGCCATAAAAAATTCCATTTTCAGGGGGATAATTGAGTGTAGCCGGCAAAAGTAAAATCTACACAGGATTTTAATAGATTCCCAAGGTCTGTTTAGGATTTTGGTAAATTTCCTAGACAAAATGTGATCTATTTCAATAATTTCCAAGGCCATGGAACTTATGCAGCCACCCTTGCATTAAATATAGTTGCAACTTGCTGATAGGGCTAAATTAACATCTCTAGTTGGTTTTGAATGAGATTCCACACTTCTAGTTAGCATCAAATGGTACGGTTTTGAGGATCAATTCCAGTCTCCACATGTTTGCCACCTAGCCCTTTCTGGCGAAGTCGGGCAACATCGCTAGCTCCAACCTTGGTTGGCGTGAATGCCTCTCTTTGCTAGACGAGTAACATTCATCCATCCATGCCTGCCAAGTCATTACTCCCATAGTTTATCCCGAATAATTCCTATGAGCTTGGATTTATAGATTTATTGACAACTTGCATATAGAAATAGTGAGTAGTTGATAAAAATGATGAAATTTAATACATAAGGAAATAGTAAAGGAACGAGACTTCCTTATGTATGTTTGGTGATGTAGCCATATACTACAACAATAGATACTACTAAACCTAGCCATGTATTACAGTATTAGATATTGTTGGACCTTTTGGTAAATGCATGTTGAAGGCATTAAAGGGCACTTGGATCGAGGTAGGTCTTGATGATGTGGAAATTTTCCGAGTTTGAATTTGACCTTTTACAAAAACATCCGTCAATAATCTTAAATGAAACAAATTAATTATATAATATTATTATATTATACTTACAATACTAATTATTGGTATTGTAATTATAGCATTTTTTGTTTTTTAGGAAAGAGGTTTGAGAGTTCTGGCTTCTTAGGAGGTGCTAGTGGTGAAGGATGAAAATAACTAAAATTTGAAAAATGAGACCACCACCAAGTCACCTGGGCTCCCTTAACTGTGTGGGTACCTAAGGCTCATTGGTTCGAACACCGTTGCTGATATTTTCCAATCTATTAAGAAAATCAAATATGTATTTCATTCTATAGGATTTACTAATCTCAAAAAATTTGTTGGTAGGTAAAACAAAGTGTAATTTATTTTACTAAAAATAAGAAAGATTTTTTCAATGACTATCTTTTCTTCCCAAGTGTGGAACTCAGCTGTGAGTTGATAAAACAACATGATAAATTGCGTCTTAATGATCATATGATTGGCAAAAATGATGAATTTAACTTCTTGTACTAAATGGGTTAAATGACAAAATGCCTTGAATGTCTCCAAGAATTCCTCCAAACTAATACAATCAGGAAAATCATATATTGCATGAAAAGTAACTGATCACCAAATTACTAAAAATCTAAATGAATTTTAAATATATAGACTAAGTTAAAATTAAGCTTTTAAAAGGAAATCAAAATATGGAAAAGCAAATTAAGCTAAAGTAAATGAGGTTGGAAATATGAAAAATCTACCAACATCATGAAATATAAATTAACATAAATAAAATAAAATATGAAATTGGATATTGATATCACTTGACTAAAAAGAACTTAGGAAAACAATAAAGGGAATGAAGTAATTCAGTACCTAAGAAATATCACTGAAGGTAGCAAATCTTATCATTACAAACTAATAAAAGGGGAATTGAATTGCTTCCTTACAGAATTGTAACTAGTTTATTGGGATTTCTAAAGGAAAAGCCATTAAATTAAGGTTGAAGAATAATGTGGGTTGAAGCATAGAGTTAAAAATAAACTAAGGGATTTGAAACTAAGATGAACTTAGGCATTAAAATAAATAGTGTTGAGCTTGTTGTGTGAGAGGTAGGTTTATCTTGTTTGTTTTCATTTTGTGTATTTATGGTAGTATACACCTCTTGGTAGTATGCTAGAAATCTATGGCAGTATCTTGAAAACTAACAATAGCACAAAACCTGCAACAAATCATTAACGTGACAGAGTTGCCAATTATAGTTCTAGAAATTTACAACAAACCACTAAACTTTATCCAAGAGAAATCTACATCAACAGAACAATTTTTCAACAAACAAAATACTTGTCAACATAGATGACACATGTCACCATTCTATTTGTTGTAAAATTGGGTGTAAATAAATTTAAAGGTAAAGTCAAATAGAATCAACTTCTATATTTTGGCCTTCAAATTAATCTCAATATTAGAAAGTGTCATTTATAATATTTTGACCAAATGTAAATTGCAATTGCATTTCCAAAGTGAAACTATTTCTTTGTCCAACCTAATATATGTTAATATAAACAGCAGTTGTAGTCAAAATTCCTAGCTATAGTACTAAGCTTTTGCCTGTGTCTCCATACCTTTTCCTCATATACAGAATGTAGAAATCTTTTGAAGCCATTCCTCAAAGGTAAAATTGCAATCAAACTGTTATATGGTTGATTACCTTTTCGAAGTATATGCATGCCAATATTCTTCTATTGTTTTTTTTTTCATTGTTATGTGTGTGTATACATATATATATATAGATATATATAAAAGTTCCTTTTTTTTTTCTAAGAAAGTTGATTCACTTTTGATTAAGGTTTTGAGGTGAATGAGGTTTGTCATTTTTTTAATTTTTGATTTATTTTGATATAAATAATAATGTGATTGAAAATTTCGCTGATGTGAATTGAGATGACCTTAGATTTAGTCTTATTCCAATTGATTGCATGTATGTGGCAAAATGTTCTAGAGGAGAGAATTTTTCTAAAGGAACCATCACACCCTTTGGGGATATCCAAATCAACCCATGTTTTGCAATTCTTCAATATGGATAGGTAAATAAAAACGACATTAATTCAATTCCATTCCTTTTTTTCTTAACCTGTAACATTTCCTAATGCATGTGAGATTTAATCTTAAATTTCTAGTGCAAATGTACAAATGTTAAAGGATTAACTATACTTGCTTCAATATGTGGTAAATTAGTGATTGTTTGAAGGTCTAAAGGCATACAGGAAAAAAGATGGTGGTATTCTTTTGTTTCGGACAGAATAGAATGCTTTGCATATGCAAATTGGTGCAGAGAGGATGTGGATGAAGGCACCTTTAGTTGATCAATTTGTTGATGTAATTAAACAAACAGTCTTTGCCAACAAGCATTGGGTATGTATGTATTGAAAATTTAGAAGGATCAAATGAGCTTGCTAAATGTCAAATTAATTGTTATGCAAATATTGATATTGTTCTTATTTGGAAAAACAGATTCCTCCTCCAAGAGAGGGATCGCTTTATATTAGGCTAACATTGATGAGAAGTGGCCTAACTCTTGCAGTAGCAGCTTCACCAGATTATACATTCCTTATTTTTGGTTCTCCTGTTGGCGACTATCACAAGGTTGAGGCAACCATAAACTTGATTGTTGAAGTTAAGTTCCACAAAGCTACTCCTGGAGGAACTGGAAGTGTTAAAGTTATTGGTAATTATTCTTCGGTAAGCATACATTTTTCACAACTGACTGATAGGCAAGTGTAATAATTTATGACATAATTGTTAAAATAGAGTAAATACCATGTTTCTTCTCATTAGAAATATTGTATATATATACAGAATATACAAGGCTAAATGACACAATTACCCCAATACATAAATATGTATTCTATCATTTCCACTCAATTTGAGCGGTAGGAGAAAGAATGCTTAAATTGGTGCGTAATGAGCTAACTTACTGAATTGGAAGTGCTTTGGTCAAAATGTCAACCCATTGATGACAAGTAAGAACATGGTGCAATCAAACAAGCTGAGAAGCAACCTTTTTCTGCACAAAATGCAAGTCAATCTTAATATGCTTTGTCTTGTGACGTTGAACAGGATTGGTAGACAAATCTAAGGCACTAATATTATCACAATAAACAATTGTATGAGAGGGAAGAAAATGTGACAAGTCAAATAAAAGTTGTTGAACCTAGGTGGCTTTGCCACTGCGTTAGTAATAACATGACACTCTGCTTCAGCACTGAAATGGGAAATTGTAGATTGCTTCTTAGAAGACCAAGAAATGAGAGAACTACCAAGAAACAAACAATTCTAGAAGTTGATCGATGAGTGTCCAAACACCCTGTCCAGTTAGCATTAGTACAAACATGTAGAGAAAAGTTTCGAGTTTTGCGAAGTTGAAGACCATAGTGCAAAGTTCCTTTAAGATACCGAAGGATTCTCTTGACAACCTAAAAGTGAAGAACAGTAGGAGCATGCATATATTGACACACTTGTTGAACAACAAAGGCAATATTTGGGCGAGTAAAAGTAGCATATTGCAATGCACCCACAATACTACGATAACCAGAAGGATTAAAGTATGGTGGACTATTAGTAGCAGCTAACTTGTTTTTAGAATCAAGAGTGGCTACAACTTGACAATCCTTTATATCAGCTTTCTCAAGTAGCTCAAAAATATATTTGGGTTGACTGAGAAGCATACCTTCAAAATTATGAGTAATCAAAATACTCAGAAAATAATTCAAAGATCCCAAATCTATCATTAAAAACTTCTCCTTCAAAAGAGAGAGAAACGAAGATAGCAAAGAAGAATTTGAGGTTGTTAAAATGATATCATCAACATATAATAATAAGACAGCCATAGAGCCATGAATTGTATAAATAAACATAGAAGAGTTAGTCTGAGTTTGAAGAAAACCACAAGACTTCAAGAAAGAAGCAAAAGAGTGAAACCAAGCTCGTGGAGCCTATTTTTGACCATAGAGAGCTTTTCGTAATCGACATACATAATCAGGTTAAGAAGGATCAAGAAATGCCGAAGGTTGATGCCTATACACAGGCTATGTCAATTCTCCATTTAACAAAGCATTCTTGACATCTAATTGGTGATCTGGCCAAGAACAAGAAATTGCGAGTGTTAAGATAATGCGAATAGTTATCGGTTTCACCATAGGACTGAAAGTATCATCATAATCATACCAGGTTGCTGAGTATAGCCTTGAGCAATTAAACGTGCTTTGTATCTCTCTATGGTGCCATCAGATTGTTGTTTGATCTTATAAACCCACTTGGGACCAACAATATTAGCATTAGGAAGACAAGGAACCAATTCTCATGTATCATCACTCAAGAGAGCAGAATATTCTTCAGCCATGGCCTTACACCATTCAGGAGAACAAACAACATGGGAGAAAGACTTTGGCTTGTGAACAGGAACAACAGTGGACAGCAAAGAAGGTAAACTACGCACTCAGCAATTACCATCTGGAGACCTTGTTACCATAGGATGTCAATGAACTATAGGAGGAGATTCCTTGGAAAGAAAAGATGACAAATCACTGTTGGAGCATGATGGAACAACAAGATTTTCAGTAGAAGAACCACTAGACTACACCGGCACTAGAACAAAAGATGTTGTAGTTGAAGAACCATTGGATTGCACCTGTATAGGAACAGAAGACGTGAAAGCCGTAGGAATAGATGCGGAATTGGTACACGACAGGGAAGGCTGCAAAATGCATGGAGCAAATGGTGTGGGAGACCACGAGGAAGACTGTTAGACTGGTGAAGAAGAGTCACTAATGGTTTGGCTAGTAGGTGGCATGGATGGACTAGACAAGGTATTTTGGGTAAAGGTGGGGAAAGTAGTGTCTATGAGGTCAAATGGGAATGAAAGGCAGAGGTATGTGTGTGGGAAACTGGTGGAGAAGCAATAAGAAGTGTGTAAGGAAAATATGTCTAATCAAAGGTGACATGACGAGATGTAGTAATCTGATGGGTGATAGGATTTAAGCAATGGTATCCTTTATGGTACTAAGAATACCCCAAAACAATACAAAGTGTGGAGCATGGAGCCAGCTTATTTGGGGTAGTTGTAGATAAGTTTAGTTAATAGGCACACCCAAAAACTCTTAAATGATCATAGGATGGTGCTTGACCATAAATAACCTCATAAGGTGTACAAAAATGTAACCTGGAAGAAGGTAAAATATTAATTAGGTGAATGGCAACATGTAATGCCTCCACCCAAAATTTTCTAGGTAAATTTGCTTGAAATAAAAGAGAACCCCCAAAAGAATGAATGGGAGGAGTCCAAACATCAAAATGGACCAACTAAAAAGGTCTAGTTGTTACAAACAATGAATCTGAAAAAAAGAAGACGAACATATTTACCTAATTGACAAGTATGACATAAACTAAATTTACTAGCTAATTTATTTGTAGAAATAAAACCATGACGAATTAAATGATCAAAAGTGAAGGATCTTGGATGACAAAGCCGACAATGCCAAACTTGAGATGAAATTGAGACATGGTATGCTGCTGAAACTGAGACATGGTACGCTGTTGGAACTCAATTTGACTGTCTAGAAAAGGAGTAGAGACCACCAAAACTATTGCAATGAAGGAGGACCTTCCTCATTTGCAAATCCTTAATGGAAAAAGCAAATTGATCAAATTCAACAGAATAGTTATTATCTTTCATAAATTGATGAATAGAAACTAAATTTTTAGAAATACTAGAACAAACTAAGACATTATTAAGTTGAAAAGAATGATAGTTAGACATAAGCAACTGATTTCCAATGTGTGAAACATGTAAAAGTTGGCCATTACCGACTTGAATAGACTCATAATTGTTGTAGGGAACATCAAAAGATAAAGTACTAGAATTTTTAGAGACATGAACCGAAGCACCCGAATCAAAATAAGAGCCATTGTCAATGCTGAAGAAGCATTATCTACCAAAAGGTTTGAGGTTGGGCAAACTGCTGAGAAGATCTGCGAATGACTAAACAGTCACGAGCTTGATGATTAGGTTGAGCACACCATTGACATGTGATTGGTGTAGGCAACAAAGAGGGTTGATACAAATTATGCCATGAAAATTGAGAGCTAATACTCTGCAAACTTTGTGGACAGTAGCCAGAGAAGGTTATATTATTAGGTCTAGGAGAAGAGAAATTATTAAATCCTTTTAATCCGAGAGAAGTATATGTTGTTCCTCGTAAAATAAATAGAAGATAAAAGAGATTAGTAAAACAATTAATTAAAGATGAAAAATAGATAGATGTCACCGAAAGTGTGAGGAGTTTGAGCTGAGACGTTGATTAATCACTCTCTTTAGAATGTTTTGTGCCACTGGTGCAATAGTTCTTAATGGTCACGTCGCCCCCAGGATACAACAGCCCAACCTTTCCACGTTGTGTCTTTACAAGTACTACACTCTTGTAAAGAAAGCTCTACCCCACCACCTTTTCCTTGCCCAAAGAGAGTTTGTGTATAGTGTAAGTGAAATAAGAGGGTAGATTAGAAAAATAGTATCAACCTTTGGTAGAAATAGAGGCTGCCTTTTTATAAACTACTCTCCTTTGTAATCGAAGTAGACAAACTGTTGTAATTTAAATTGAAATTTTTCAGTGTTAACCAAGATTTGTAACTGATGCAACAATAATGAAATCAAGTAATTAACTCACATTTGAGACTAAAGCAATAATGAGAAATAATGTATAGGTTTAAAACCATTTAAAAAAAAAATACAATTGGATTTGTAACTGTTGTCATTTCAGAAAATGTGTAACTCTTGAGATTAAATCTTTAAGTAATAGATTCATAACCGACTAGAAATGATTTTGAAAATAATGAGATTTGTCGGTTAAAATTTTTAATTAAAATTTACTACATTCCCCCTCCATTTTAATTAAAAATAAAACAAATTTAGAAGATGAAATATATATAGGCAAGGATGAATTACCATGCATAATAGAGGTAGCAATGCCTTGAACCTTTATTTAGTGAGTCAATGATTCCTAACCCAAAGTCACTAGTGAGTAAGTATCTTGAACTAGGACTACTTAGATGATATAGGAGACCATATCACACACATAATAATTCAGGTGTTACTTTGAGCTTGTAAGTCGGCACATTACGGCCTTTGTTCCTAATCTTGATATTCATGAATGATCTAGAGAATAGCTCTATTGTCATAGGAGCGGCTCCATTCCGACATCCATATAGGTGAAATTTGTTTAGTGTGCTCCCATAAATAAGACACCCACTCAGTGAGCTATAAATTTCATTAAGAGTGTATAATACTCAACCTTCACATACGTTATGGAACAGATGCATCTACACCTTAAGAATGGGATGAGATTTTTTTTTTTTTTTTTTTTATTTCTCAACAACGACCTCTTTATGATTCGTTTTTCCCATTCAAAGGGTATTCTCATAGGAAGTTCCACATTTTTTGGGCTTCAATCCCATTTCCCTTGATGTAATCTAGATCTTCTCTTTGGCTAGAGCTTTTGTACATGGATTAGCAATATTTTCACTTGATTGTATATAATCCACATGGATTGTCCCATTATCCAAGTAGGACCTCACAATACTATGTTTCCTTTGAATAGATCTGGATTTACCATTATAAAAATGATTCTTCACCTTATAAATAGTAGCAGTATTATCACAGTAAATGAGCATAGGAGGCATTGGTTTTTCCCATAAAATAATTTCAAACAATAAATCTCTTAGCCAAGTAGCTTCCTCAGAAACTAGTGCTAATGATATCATCTTTGCCTCCATAGTTGACTTTGTAATTATTTGTTGTTTTTTAGATTTCCAACTCACAGCACCACCGTCCATCTTAAAAATATACCCTGAAACAAATAAAGAATCACCTAACAAGGTGTTCCAATTAGCATCACAAAATCCTTCAAGTATCACAAGGTATTTTTGATAAAATAAACCATAATTTTTGGTAGCACATAAATATCCCATTAAGTGTTTAACACAATCCCAATGAAAGAAATTAGGCTTGCTAGTAAATCTCCCTAACATTCCAACTGCATAAGAAATATCAAGTCTAGTGCAATCAATAAGATATAGTAAACTACCAATGATACTAGTATATTCCTTTTGATTGAGAATATCTTTATCATGTAAAGTGGGATACAAATGCACACTGGGTGATAAAGGCATCATAACATGTCTAGAATTATGATAGTTATATTTCTTCAAAATTTTTTCTATATAATGGCATTGATGAAGAAAGATTCCATCATAATTTCTAGTTATTTTCATGCCAAGAATCACATTAGCCTCACTCAAATCCTTCATGTCAAAATGCTTATTTAACAATGACTTAGTAGTGTTAATCACTTCTAAACTTGAACCAAAAATCAAGAGATTATCAACATACAAACATATAATAACATGATAGTTATTGAAAAATCCAAAATATATGCATTTATCACTTTCACTTGAATTAAAATCATTTTCTATCAAGCAATTTTCAAATTTCTCATGCCATTGTTTTGGAGCTTGTTTCAAACCATAAAGAGATTTAGTCAATTTACACACCTTGTCTTCTTGGCCAGGCATAACAAAACCTTCAGGTTGATCCATGTAAATTTCTTCATGCAAGTGTCCATTTAAAAATGCCATTTTAACATCCATTTGATGGATGAGCATGTTATGAATGGCAGCTACAGCTATAAGTACTCTAATGGAAGTCACTCTTATTACATGTGAAAAAGTATCAAAAAAGTCTAGTTCCTCTTTTTGTTTGAAACGTTTTGCAACAAGTCTTTCTTTCTATTTATTTATAGTTCCATCCAGTTTAAGTTTTTTCCTCAAAACCCATTTACAACCTATTGTTTAACAACCAGGAGGTAAATCTACTAACTTCCAAGTTTTATTAGAAATTAAAGAATCCATTTCATCATTAATAGCTTCTTTCCAAAATTCAGAATCAGAAGAAGTTAAAGCTTCTTGAAAAGACAATGGTTCTCCATCTACATTATATACATAATAATTTGAACCAAAATCTTTTTCTTCATGTGTTTTTTTACTTCTCTTAGGTTCAAAATCATTTTGCTTTGTAAAATCATGACTTCCAACCTTCTTAAGTTTAAAAGGAAATTTATCTTCATGGAATATTGCATCTACAAATTCAATAGCAACATTAGAATCAAGATCAAGGAATCTATATGCCTTTTTTGTAGTTGTGTACCCAATAAATACACATGTCGTAGCTTTTGCACCCAACTTTGGTCTTTTTGGATCTATCAATCTTACATAAGCCAAGCATCCCCAAGCTTTGAGATAACTAAGATTTGGCGTATAGCCTTTCCACAACTCAAAAGAAGTTAGGTTAGTTTTGTTATTAGGAGTACAATTTAAAATATAATATGCAGTCAAAACAGCTTCACCCCATAAATTAGATGGTGCACAAGAACTAACAAGCAGAACATTAGTCAAATCAATTAAAGTACGATTTTTATGTTTAGCTACACCATTAGAAGAATGTGAATATGGAGGAGTAGTCTCATAAATAATACCCAAAGATTGTATGAATTTGTTAAAATCATTTGAATCATACTAAGCACCTCTATCACTTCTAAACCTTTTAATCTTCATTCCAAATTGGTTTTCAACCTCATTTAAAAGGATTTGAAATTTTTCAAAAGCATCACTTTTATGCTTAATCAAATAAATATAAGTATATTTTGAAAAATCATCAATAAAAGTAATAAAATACCTATGACCACCACGTGACAAAACTCCCTCAAATTCACAAATATCAGTATGTATTAATTCTAATAAATCAGTTTTTCTTTCAACACTTCTAAAAGGTTTTTTTTAGTGATTTTAGTCAAACTACAAGATTCACATTTTTCAAAATCATTATTTACTTTGGATATTAATCAAAGATTACTCATATTTTTTTTATATATTCATTATTAATATGACATAAACGAGCATGCCAAACAATATTAAAAATATATAAATAGAACTTGAAGGAACTTTATTCATATCAATATTCAATTTGTACATACCATCACATGCATAGCCTTTCACAACAAATATACCATTTTTAGTCAAAACATAATGCCCATATTCATATACCTCTTTGAAGCCAGCCTTACCAAGAAGAAAACTAAAAACTAAATTTTTCCTCATTTGAGGGGTGTAGAGCACATCTTTGAGAGTCAATGTTTTTCCAAAGGTAAATTCAATTCCACTTCTCCTTGGCCAGGAACCTTGATTGTATGACCATCACCAAGTCTCACTTCTTTTTCAACATCATATTCAAAAAATGTTTTGAACCAAGATTTGTCTTTATAGACATGCTGTGCGACATCAGAATCAATCCACCATCCCTCACTGCCATTAAGCATGTTTATGTCAAATAACATCGCCACAAAGGGCTCCTCGGTTGCGTTGACTTGTGGAGTATGCCCACACTTTTGGAATCTGCAAACTTTAGCAGTATGCCCAAGCTTGCCACACACAAAACATGTATAGCTATTTTGTTTTGAAAGAGGTCCTTGGTTCTTAAAATTTTAACTTAGTCTCCCAACAGGACGATTCCCATAATTCTTTTTCACAATTTTCTCCTTAGATCTCAATTAGGCATTATATTTAAAATTATTATTTTTGGGAAAGCTATCATTAGTGGCAACAAAGTGTACCTTTGATGTGTTGCCTCTATTTGTAGTTCAAGCATCTTGATTCCTTGCCTCCTCTTCAACTCGAATACGAGTTAATAGATTTTCCACGGTGATCTCCTTTTGCTTGTGATGCATCATCATTTGGAACTCCTTCCATGAAGGCGGCAGCTTGTCGATAATGGCTACAACTTTGAAGTTGTCATCAATTTGTATGCCTTCAGACCGGAACTCATGAGCAAGCATTTGCAACTCTTGAATTTATGACACCATCGACTTGTCATTCACCATTTGGAAGCGCAATCATCGGCTACCAGCATACATCTTCGCACCAGCCTCCTCAGAGTCATATTTTTTCTGCAAAGCATCCCAAGTTTCCTTGGCAGTGGAGTAAGTTCTTTAATAGTAATCATAAAGCTCATCAGAAAGGCAATTAAGTAAAGAGTTGTGGCAACCATATTCATCTTTCTCCCACTTTTGGACTTTCTTCTTGTGAGATTTCTTTTCCTCAGCACTTATACCTTTGGTTGACTTATTAATAGGATTTTCCTCATTGAGGACATATGCCAAATTTAACAAACTAAGATAATACAAAACTTTTACTTTCCATCTTTTGAAATGCTCACCGTTAAAACGAAAATGCATGTTAAGATCATTAACGAGCTTAACAGGTTTTTCACGAGGGGAACTCATTTCTTAAAGAAATTTTCTTTCGAAACATCCTAAAAATGTTGTTCCTTGTAAAATAAATAGAAGCAAAAATAGATAAAAGAGATTAATAAAACAATTAATTGAAGATGAAAAATACACAAATGTCACCGAAAGTGTGAGGAGTTTGAAGAGTTTGACCTGAGGTGTAGATCAATCACTCTCTTTAGGACGTTTTGTGCCACTGGTGTAGTAGTTCTTAATGGTCATGCCGCCCCCAGAATAAAACAGCCCAACCTTTCAACGTGTCTTTACAAGTATTGCACTCTTGTAAAGAAAGCTTTATCCCACCACTTTTTCCTTGCCCAAAGAGAGTTTGTATACAGTGTTTGTGAAATAAGAGTGTAGATTAGAAAAATTGAATCAGCCTCTGGTAGAAATTGAGGCTGCCTATTTATAGACTACTCTCCTTTGTAACCGAAGTAGACAAACTATTGTAATTTGAATTAAAATTTTTCGATGTCAAATGAGATTTTTAACTGATGCAGCAATAATGAAATCAAGTAACCGACTCATATTTGAGACTAAAGAAATAATGAGAAATAATGTATAAGTTTAAAGCCATTTAAAAAAAAAAAAAACAATTGGATTTGTAACTGTTGCCGTTTCGAAAAATGTGTAACTCTTGAGATTAAATCTTTAAGTAATAGATTCATTACCGACTAGAAATAATTTTGAAAATAAAGAGATTTGTCGGTTACAATTTTTAATTAAAATTTACAACAATATATTGTTGCTGTGCTTGTGCTCGAAAGCCAAAACAACCTCTGTGCCCTCGATTGCCAATCCTACCACCTTGGTTATTATTTCTATTTTGTGGGCGGTAAGAATAATTGAAATCTCTCTGTTGTGGAGTTGATATAGAAGACAATAAAACTTGGGGAGAAGAGAGAGGGGTAGCAACTGTATTCTGGACATTCTCACGTCGGACATTGACCTCTTCAATCAATAACAAGGCTAAATGACACGATTACCCCAATACATAAATATATATTATGTCAATTGTATTCGTTCTTGTTTTTGTAGTCTATCAAAGCACTATGTCAACCAAAAGCTAGGGGGTTCGCTGATGTGGTATTCCTTGATTCTGTCACTGGAAAATATATTGAGGAGGCTTCTGGATGTAACATCTTTATGCTCAAGGTATTCAATTTTTCCAAAAATTAATCTTAATTTTAACTCAACAAACAAATTGCTAATCTATTAACATCAATGGTCGCTGCAGGGAAATATTTTATCAACTCCTAAAATAAATGGAAACATTCTTCCAGGAATCAATCGGAAAAGCATCATTGAGATTGCAAAGAGTTATGGCTACCAGGCGATTCAATTCCCATTCTCTGTTTGACGTATTCCCTGTCTATAGCCTTACCTACAGTATTGTGTATAATCTCATGGTAAGTAATTAAGCAATAACAGGTTGAGGAACGCCGGTTCTAGTAGATGAATTGTCTGATGCTGATGAAGTCTTCTGCACTGGAACTGCAGTGGTTGTGACTTCTGTTGCCTGTATAACATATCAGAATAACAGGTAGATTTTGGTCAAATTTTAAGTTGATAATATTTTAAGCATGCACCTCTTCTTCTCTTTTGTTTTTAGTCATTATTCTGTGTTCAATGCAGATTTGAGTACAAAACCGGGAAAGAGACAGTGACTAGGAAGCTGCGTGAAGCCTTGACTGGGATTTTTTTTTTTTTGAACAGCTAAGAAAATGAATATTATCAAACTGAGTACAAGGGTACTCAACCCATAAAGTTATACAAAGCAACAATAATCCAATGTTAGTTCCCTCTTTTAGATCATTTTTCAATTAAACCCTCCCCTATTGCTAGATAAACATGCTGAAGGATTAATTAACCAATCTGAAAGAGGAAAGTAACACCTGGGTTTTTTTGCTTTAATCCATGCGAATGATCTCAGTTGAATAAGATCTAGCAGCTGACCCCTATTAATTTCTGTGTCCTGGAAAATTTTGCGATTTCTAGCCATCCATATTGTCCAAATGACAGAATTCCAGATGCAATCCCAACCTTCTGCTATGCGTGGGTCTTTAATCTCATTCCCGAATTGGTCAAAGGTGCTGCAGCAGTCTTCCTTTAATGCTACCGTGGTCCCCCACCATCTACTGCAAGCTTTCCAAAGCCATTTGCTTAATTTGCAATTTAGGAATAAATGGGTGGCGTCCTCATACTCCTTGCATATGCTACATTTTGCCTCTTCCATGTTCTTGATAACTCCTCTGCTATGAAGATTAACTTTGGTAGGGATTCTGTCAAGAATTACTCTCCAATTGACTGGGATTCAGAATGGTTCCATTGAGGACAAGATGGAATGGACAATTGAGATATAAAACATGGAAGCGGTTTCTCTTTCTCAAGTTTAGATTTCTACACAATCTTCAGCCTGTGTAGTTTCCAGTGTGGGAATTTCTGGCTTTATGCCCCATAATAAACTTCTATGTATTCCTGTGTCTTTTCTATTTTTATTATTCCATCCAAGAACTACCCTAATGATGTTGAAAAATAAATATATGATGATGTGGACTAGTATTTCAATTTTCATGTACATAATCCAATTGCTCAAAGAACTCGCACTCTCATTGAACTCTGTCCATATTCTACAGTTTCTTTTCCAAAGTTGGGTCTATATTTGGACCAAATCAAAGGTAAGTTAAGGATACGTTGAGGATACATGGGATATATATTATATCCCAGGGATACAGTCTTTTGGATGGAAGAGGGGTCGGAGTCCCGTCAGTTTACTATGCAGTTTGTACTATATAATTATTTTTCTTAAAATATACTATGATTTTCTGGGGTAAAAAAAAAACAGAGTTTGATTAGAATTAAGCCGCTTGAAAAGATGGTGCATACAATTGATATGATCCTGACTGTTCCAGTAGAGGACGGCGGTTTTCAGGGTTTTGGCGATGATGGGATTGTTGCGTTTGAGGTTGTAATTGAGAGCAGGCGTGTCGGGGGAGATGTCAGTGAGGATAAGGTTGGTGAGGCCGAGGAGGCAGTAGAAGGCCTGCCGGTGGCACCGCATCCTTTGCCCAGCGTAATGGCGCCGCAGCGGCTGAAAACGAGGATGTGCGAGTAGGCTGTTGGGGGATAGCGTTGGGCGAACTTAGAGAGGACCAACGAGCACGGCCAGGCGGCGGTGCCGAGGTTGATGAACCGTTGTCTTGCTGGAAGGAGAGAGGAAGGCGTTGTCCAAAAACAGCTCGATTACTGGTGAGTCTGTCCCGCGCGTGTTTGTAAAATGCTTGCGTGCTTGTGCTTGAGCTTGGGCTTGAGCTTGGGCTAGGATTTATCTTATGCTTGGGTTGGGCATTATAAGATCGTTTGGGCTATTGGACACCATACCATATTTACGTCATTTTGTGACGAATTGAGTATCTTTTGCATTTCATGAAACATGGGTCTCAGCCTGCCTGACTTTTTAAACAACTTCTCCATTACAAAAGACAAGTAATGGTATCAATTGATATTACATTTAAATGCATGGAAAATTATGACATTTTGATATTAAAAATGTTAAAATATCTAATCAAAATTATATTATGAATACAACATAGAAGTTACTTAATTTGAGTAGTATTTAACATTTTGACATTTTTAATACGAAGAACTCTTGATTTTTCCTTATTTGTTATATTTATATAATACAATATTAGACAACTTGAAAAATGAAAAGTTATTGATTATAACTGCTAGATTAATGGTGGAGGTGGTTTGGAGTTTTGTTGAGAAGCAGAGAAAAAAGATTTGAAATTCAAGAAATTTTGCACTTTTACTAAGAAATTCGAATTGTGCAACCCGAGAGAACATAATGATAAATTCCTTATTTTTACAAATATTAGGGGTCTTTGATTATTTAAGCATTTGAAATTTTGGAAGGATTGGATTAAGCTCCAAGACCTAAATTTACTGGAATTTCGGTTTTGAGATTTGATTGGGTGAGAATGATATAAGGAAGAGTAGGCCTTAAAGGGTGTTATAGTTGGGTAATTTTGAGGATTTAATTAGATGGTGTTCGTTTTTAAATTATGTAAAAATTAAGATATAAAACTTTAATCTATAATTTCCATTAAGTTGATTTTTTATATTTTCTTAATTTCATTGGATTTTTTTTATTGATTTTGAGTTGTATAATGAGAATCAGTCTCTATCAACATTTTAACTTCCCCAACCCCGCAAGCCTACAATTTGAGCTCTACTTGGAGGCTAGGCTGCTTAGATCGCTCGCTTCTTGAGTCCATTGTTATGAAACTTCTTGCCAATTACTTAAAGACAGGAAAAGCTAAGACATGATTTGTAAAAGAACTAAAGGGAGTAGCTTGTCAAAGTGAAATTCATAAAGAGGATGTTCTCCTTTTCCTTTATCTTGGGGATGAAGGAGGGTTTTATTGTATGTTGTAATCAAGGAATATAATTTATAAGATTATTTTCTATTCAGATTTTGATTAATAACCATGACTAGAGAGCATCTCAAAGTCTTGGATATCTGTCTAAACGCATCTACTATAAATAGGACCTTAGAAATGGGGCCACCATTTTCAACTTCTGTCTAGCTTGACACAAATATGTGATCCAGCAGTCACCGCCCACCAGTTTTTACTTATGTCTTTGTTCTGATAGACCCCATTTTGCTTTTGGCAAAGGCCAAGGAGGAGAGATAGACATCAACATGGGGGAGAAAGAAAACAATTTTCACTTGAGACAATTATTTTCTTTTTCCCTTACCAAACCTGCTATCATGCCGATGGCTAAGACTTGGGACTTGGTTTGATTTTTCTGCTGCATCCTGTTTGGCACACAAACTTGTAAGTTCTGTGGTGTATAATTGTCTTGGTAAGTTTTGTGTCACAGCATGCGTAGCTATCACTCAGTCAATTTCTAGCAAAAGTCACAATTTGGTGCAAGAATAATGTTCTTTTTCTATCTTTAGATATACTTTCTCTTTCTTTTCCACAATCTTATTTTTCTTTCTTTTTGATGTCGGTGCTTATGCCAATCAGATCTTGATCTTTGGATTATAGGACTGGCTAATCAAGCTCTGAGACATCTCAGGTTCAAAACTCTATTCTCACAATAATTGTTCCACACACACGCACACACAAAAATGGGAAGAAATCTCGGTACTTATACATGTCTAGAATGGTTTTTACCTTATCAGCCTATTGGACTGGAAGTAAATACCAAACAAACGGCTAGCTTTATGGGTTTAAATCAAAGCACTTCGGCTTGATGGGAGAGCATTTTAATTTTCAAAACGTGTGAGCAAAAGAGTAAGTAAGAAAATCAACTCTATAACAATTGCAACCAAAAATTAACTAGATGTGCTTCTTTTGCCGTGCAATAGTGCTATTAATCTTGCTTATAATTAATACATGGTATGCATGGTTTAGTGTTGCAAAAGTGTAATTAGATTATTCTAGCTAAGAACACGGTTAAGTCCTATATATCTACTCGAAAGCAAGCTTTTATGCAACTGAAATATAGTCTTTTTAAGTCGTTGTATATATGACAAGTGGACAACAACCACAATAGAGATGAAACAATGCAATAATGGAGCTGAAAAGGGGATTGATGCTTTGCCCCCACTACTCCACCCCTTCTTTATCAAAGACTAAAGCCACAGTTTTTAAAGGTATAAGCTTTTAGAGTTCAAGAGAATATGCATGGATATCTTCCTTCACCTCCTCAATAGTTTATCTAGGCAAACTTTTAGCCCTCCATCAAAACACACTTAATGGCACACCTTTTCTCCCCTGGCCTGCAAAGTTTTTCCCAATACTAAATTCTGTCTCTTCGCCTTCCATCTCTCCAACTCCTACCAGCCCCCATTTTATTTTTCATAGATAAAATATACTACTCATGAAAAATTCCAATTGCTGTGTCTCAAATCCATCCATTGATTGAAGATGGATGACAGATGGCTTGCATCCCAACCCCCAAGAAGTCTCTTGTTTGCCCTCCTCCTCCAGTGCTATCTTCGTTGCGTGTATGCTGGCGCTTAGCAGCAGGAAACATTTGTAATTGATTCAATGTGGTAATATCTGATGAGTTTTCCAGATGCTCACTTCCTAAAGAATTATTTGTCTGCGTGTTGTTCGACCCGTACAGGCCACTGTACTTGCTACTATCTTCAGCCTGAGTAGTACTGTTGCTGGACTTCAATTTAAAACTCCCTAAAAATGATGCATCAGTTGAAGTTGCACCAATCTGCGCAGCTTTCTGCAGGAGGGCTGTGGCAGACATATTTGCTGCTGATGGTACCGTTTGAAGGGAGTGCTGCTGGGAGCTAAACAATGAAGGAATGCTCACAAGTTGATGGGTAGGTCCATTTTCCTTCACATTGCTTAAAGGAAGTGATATTGAAGTAGTGCTTAGTAACTCTTCGGGATTGTTTGCAGAGAGTTTATTCCCGAACATCCAAGGTAACTGATAATTAGTGTCAGATGGTAGAGGATTTGAACCTGAAACTAAGGGTTCAGTACTGTATACTGTCCCCGAATTCATAGGACCAAGTTGATGATGAATGACTTGGAGATTGTTAGTTCCTATTGCTTCATGCCCCATCCAGAGGGAGAGTCCTTGTCTGGCTTCATCCATGGCTGCTTCGTTAGTGGTTGAAATTGGCTTGAAACTAGAAGAAAAATGTTGTGCCATGATGCCAGACCCTATTGGAGTCCCCAAAAGGTGATGATAATTCATGGCACTAGTTGTGGTCATGTTGTGCACACTAGATGCTGCATTTACTCTAGCTGTTTCTTCAGCCAATGCATCACAGAATGCCCTGTGAGTGATGAAACTATCTCTCCTGCTCCCCACAAGAAAAATTCATCAAAAAGAACTCAAATAAATGTAGAAGGATAAAATAAAAAACATCACTTCAAGATGTTTAGTGGATAGAAACGAACATTAGTGCTCTTTGTCTTTACTATGACCTTTGCCTTCCTTTCTCATAAGCCAGAGGGAAAGATGGATAAAAAAGAGAGTAGAGGGACAAACAACAACAAGAAAAATCACTATCAGGTATTCATTTTTCTTTCTTGAATTTAGTCTTTGAGACCATATACTTGGTTAATACTGTTTGCATGAGAGAAAGTGATGTTTTATCGTCTATCACTCACAAAAATTCACTTTTATTTTCCTTTTCCTCCTATGCGCTTCTTTGCATCAACTACATACCAAAAAAATCACTACAAAATTGTATTACCTTGAAAATAGGGTGCCACAGTCACATTTATACTCCCTTGTGCCGCAGGTTTTTGAGTGAGCTTTCCAGTCAGACTGAACAGCATATCTCTTTGAGCACTTCTCACACTTCCATTTCTTTTCACCGTGTTTCCTGCAGAAATGCTTTTTGATACCTGTGAGGTCTCCAAGCGCCCTCGATGGATGGTGGTGCACGCATGTCTTCTCGGGACAGATGTAGACGCGCTTTCTGACTTCTTTTGATGTTCTTTGCTTGAGCTTCCATGGCAGGTTATGGCCTCGGCGATGCAGCTGAAGATTCTGGTCTCTCTGGAAACCCTTCCCACATATTTCACACAGGAATCTGTTGGTTGCCATGAGAGTCTTTGGAGACAGAGCTATAACTTCAGCCTCAGGATCTGCAGAAAATCTCATCTATGAGTACCTTCGTAGTATCTGAGCACACTAACTTCTTTGGCAGATATAAACAGTAATTTCTACTATGACTTTGAATATACCTATGTGATGATAAAGAGGGAAGAGAGAAAGATAGAATCCTGAAGAAAGAAAAGGGAACTTGCCTGGGGTTCCTGGGAGGTTTCTCTTCCTCTTTGGAGCTGGAAGATTGGATCCAGGGATTGAGGTTTGGACAAAAGTACCATTTGGGATTATTGCTTCTTCTTCTGCTGTCATATCTTCTCTAACATCAAGGTCAGTTCTTTGAATTGCTTCTGTATATAAGAAAACCCAGAAACAGAAAAACACAACTAAATGGTTTCTTAGTCTTGTGGGGAGAAAACCCAAAAGACTAGGTTCTTTGTTATGGGTATATATCTTCTCAACCCTAACAACATAAGATGATATATGGAAAAGAAATGGATCCCCTTTCTCTCTCTTTATTCCCTTTCTCTATCTCTGTCTCAATGTTGAACTCATTTAAATTTCTTCCACCCCTTTAGGTGGAATAGAACTAATAATAATTTTTTATGGGGTGGTGAAAAGTTAAAGTTGGGAGCTAAGGAAAGATGTTGGAAGAAAGAGAAAGAGAAAGAGAGGGGAGGGAAAGGTGCATGATGACACATATCAAGATGAAGGGAGAAAGTTGGAATGATTATCCCATAATTTGTTTGCCTTTTGTTTTAACTGTTTTTCTATTGTGATTTGTCCACAATTCTACCAATATTTAAACATATATAGTTCACTTTATGGAATTTATATACATATTTAGTAGTAAAGAAGATAAATTGTGATGTGAGAATATTTATGTACCGTAGATTTTCAGGTTTGATACAAACTCTCGGAGTTATATATAGCAATAGAGACTACTATTTTTTATTTTCCTTCTCTTGTGGTATCCTCATTATAAACCTATAAATTTTAAGTGATTGTTTGACACAGTTTACAGTAGAATAGTTTCTCCATAGCATAAGATCAAAGATTGCTTTCTTAAAAGTAATTTTTAGTTAGCCAGTCTTGTTAAATCCATGCACACTTTAGCTATTTGAATGCTAGCTAAAGTGTGTACAGACCCTTCCGCCTTGCTGTAGAAGAAACTAAAGTGAGCCTAGATTTAACGTCACCCTTTTCTTTTTCTATTTTGTTGAAGTAGATTTCAATGGGTGAAAGAAGCTATATATATATGTGGATATTAATATAGACATATTTTAATTCAACACGTTTTACAATACATTCATAAAAAGATTATTATTTTTCAATATGAAATTAAAGATAAAAAAACTTAAATATGCAGTTATGCATATGGTATATATGGAGAAATTGGTTGACGTAGCTACATTTATAGTATATTTTAATAATTCAACTAATTGAGTGTTGGCATGTGTATTGAATTGAAAAGTGTTCAAATCATTTTCCTATATATATAGATAACACATATTTTGGCATGTCTTTCTCATCTCTTGCATCAAGATTTGAAACAAAACTATGAACTCTATGACCTTTTAGTTTGAAAGCCTTTTTTTTATACATCAAATGATAATTCATACAATAAGGGATAGTTCTTACCCTTCCAAACCCTTTCCTACACATCTTAGAATTTGAAATTGAGATTTTCAACATAAAGTTTTAAGTTATCAATCACTGTGACGTCTACATTGAAAGCACCTCTTCAAATTTCTTGATTGAACAAAAAACTTTCATGTGATCGTGGATCCTTATTTTGCAAAAATAGAGAAAGAAACCAAAAGCCAAAAAAAACAAAAAAACAAAAAAATAAATAAATAAACTTATCTCTTTTTTTTTTTTTTTTAATCTCATTTGCTAGAGTAAAAATCTTTTTGAAATTTCCTTGCTAGCTACGTGATCAAAGGGAAAGTTGAAGGCATAAAGTTGAAGGCATATTTTTCAAAGAAGATTTAATTTATACCATATCTTATAATTTTGAGTTCAATTATGCATTTCTATTTTCTAATAGGACAATGATAGGTACAGTCTCTAGTTCAACATCTAATTCAATACTCTCTGGTTTACTCATTAAAAAATTATTATTTTTTAATTTGAAATTAAAAACAAACAAGTATAATGATATAATTATGCACATATGATACATGAAGTATTTATATTATATTTTTAATGATTAAACCGGAAAGTGTTAAACCGGATGTTGAACCGGATGTTGAACCGATGGGTATACTAATCATTTCCCTTTCTAATATTGTTTTTAATTAATAATTACATCAATTAATTAGTTAATTACTCTTTAATCACTTGATTTTCCTCAGGAAATCTGCAATGCACGTGCCCAGCTGTTTAGAAAGAGAGGTAAAATACAAGAGAAACGACGAAACGGGCTCGTAAAAGGAAATAATCGTCTTCCCACATCACATTCACTAGATTTGCAACCCACTTGCTTTGATTTTATTAATTTTAATTATTGATTATAATAATTAATCAATATAACAAATTAAAAAAATTTTATGCCCTACCCAAAAAAAAAGAAAAAAAAAATGGATCAAGAGCAGCTAAGAAGTTAGCTAGGTTGATTGATTGGTTGTTGTATTTTTTTGAATGGCAGATGATGGACGTTACCCTTTTTCTGTGATCCATTAAGATTGCTTTTCTTTTGATGAAAAATGTACAGGTTTTTCCTTGCAAACTTTACAAAAAAATGGGTCATGCAATTCCATGACAGAATCTGGTGTGTCGATACACTGCATTCACTTTTTTTACACATAAAACAAGATGCATAGCCACATCACTCATCTACTTCAAATTATTGTTTTAATTGCATACAATGCTATATTTGGTTTGTAATATCCCAATTCCACATAGAAAGAAGAGTACGATTGTAAGTGATATATAAGTCTGGAAACAAATAATTAATAACAATTTGAATTTAAGAATTTGTAAAACCTTATTCTAAAATGTCATCAGGGTAGTGACAAACTTCAATAATAATTTATGTTTTAGTTTCTAAGTGAAAGCAAAGATGCTAGTCCTTTAGCTCAGTTTGTTTAAAAAGAAATTTATGTGTAAGTGGGGATTTTTAGAAGAAGGGAATTACTGGAATTAATTAATTAATCTAGGGTTTAGGGTTAAAAGACAGGGAGCTGACAAAGACAGTGAATTTTTGGAAGTGCGAGCGGTCGTCTACTTGTGGGCTGACTTTTCCTGCGAAACCTTAATCATAATCTAATCATGTATTTGCTTTCTAACATTGTTTAGAATAAACCCTTTGGAGTTTTGCTGTTGAACCGTGGCGGCCTCAGAATATTCTCTCCTTCTCCAACACTCCAAAAGGCTTCAACTTTCAATGGAGATTCCTATACCATACACACCACCCCTCCCTTCCCCACACGTTTACTTTGGTTCCCTAATATTTTTCCCTACGTCTCGGGTTTGAGGAAAATACTAAGAAAATTTTGTGTAGGACTAACTTGCTATTAGTTCAAGTTAGAATTCGAGAGTAGTTATGGGAAAAGCAAAATGTTGTCACCAAGGGCATGTTTGTTTCTTAGCTTGTCTTCTACCCTTTGGAAATTCTAGCCAGCAGCTAGGTAAATTTTCTAATAAATTCAAGACATGAATTAGTGAATGGTTGTGTCTCTCACCATGGATCGATGATGGATTTCCTTTTAATTTATTTCCATGAATACTTGGTATGTTCAGATCTAAGAAATCCCATTCAATCAAGACTTTTTAATCAAACGAGTTAGATTTGTTTAGCAAAGGAAATGCTTAATTATTGCAAGAATTTTAATTCTTGATCTAGATCAGCCAATTTTAGTGATCAAAGAGTAATTTCTTTCCATTTGAACTAAAAAATTTAAGGTCTGAGTTATATGGCATATGAAGAACTATATATTGTATAACACAAAACAAGGAAAAAACCAAAAACTCTTGATCTTAGAATCAATTATGGTAAGTATTAACTCAATTAAATTTTTGTGAGTTAATTAGCAATTAATTTGTACCAAAAAAATTAGCAACTAATTATCCTTACTGTTCTATTAGTATTTACACTCATAATTGATGTTTGAAGGATCATGCCATAGCAGGGACTGATGATATTCCTTTGGGAGCCGTGGGAGAGAAAGATGGGTTTTTTTTTTTTTTTTTTTTTCTGCTTTTGAAAAATTATAGTATACGTAAAGGTGGATAGATATGGATCTAAGAATCCATATATTACAGAAACCACATGCTTTTGGTTTATTAAAAGTTGGGGAATATATGCCTTTTCAAAAACCAAAATTTTCTCGCCCCTTTACATTTTCTTTATCATTATTTCTGTTTTAATATAAAATATCAAATATACTATTATTATTTCTGGTAGATAAGCCACTGCATTGAAGACCCTTTACATTTAACTTAACCTTCATTTGATGGACCAAAAGGCAACTTATGAATATTCTTTCGGATTTGGTGTGATGGTCTAGACTACCCATCTCTTTAGATATTATGTTTGTCCATTTCCCAGTGGGTTTTTCTTTTTTTTTCAAATTTTGATTATTTGAGAGTAGCAAGATGCATAATTCTAATTCTGAAAAAATTCAAAGAGTTCAAATGAAAGACATATTTGAAATTTCATATATATATATGTGCATGCGTGTGCGTGCATGGGTGTCTCCTTGTGTCTGTGTGTCAAGTGATATTCTATATTAAAAAAATAAATAGAAAGAACTGTAATAATGGGCTCTTTTCACTCATATAGGTGTTGCATGTGTAATTCAAGTTGTATGTATTTAGTTTTGATGTATGTATTCACTTATCCATTTGTTATTATCCTTTTATTTTTTATTATTATTATTTTGTTTGGATGATTAGAGTGTTTTCAGATAAGTTTTTGCACACTTAATCCCTATCAGTAGATTTTAAGGTCTCACCCTTATATTGTCATGGTACATTTAAGAAAATTAATTTTGTTGAGTGCATTAACAACAAATATTACAGAATGTAGAAGTTTAAATTTCTTAACTTACCCCAAAATCAAGGATTCATTAGTATTATTATTATTTTTTTGGGTAAAAAAAGGATCCCTTATACTTTTATCAAGGGTAAGCTAGCTCAATTATCCGCAAGGCGCGGGTCAGGAAAGTCCAGATCTTTAATTAGTTGTTCAAGGTCTGACATTGAATTTCTAGGGGAGGTATGTTTGGGCTCTTTTACATGTTTAGTTATGCATGAACATGTGATAAGGATTATTTTTAAAGTGTGTTAAAATTGATCCAAATATATTATGTTTGTTCAAATTAAAAAGAGAAAAATGATTTATTTACTCTTTAGTTCAACATATTTTTCGACACTTGTTTAGTTTAGTTTTTAAAATATAATGTCAATTCAATCAATTTTTATATCTTATATATAGAGTTGCATTTTAAATTTTTTTATTTTTAATTTTTTTAATAATTTTTTAATGAATGTATTGTGTAGTATATTAAATCAAGAGATACACCAATTAAAGTAAAAAAAAAAAAAAAACGTGTGACAATTTGTATGGAGTCAAGTTGACCATAAGGACTTGGGTGTAAGGTCCACATATACGAGTAACTCTTGGTGTGAATATAGCGCGCAGGACTTCCTGCTTGATCCGATTTATGGTAAACGGAAATTTGAACTGCCATATGGGAGGACTCTATTTCTCTTCTGTGAATGATCTCAAGAGGATCTTCTTACTGTTTATGATTGAATGTTAGTTAGAACTCGTTAGTT